AAGCAGCACGGATCATGTCATGCCAACACCACAGCAGGACGGTGCAGCAGACTGAGCTCACACACTGATGGCAGCCAGGGCCAGTGTTCATCTTCCCATAACTCCTGCAGAAAGCCCAGAGGACCTCCAGCAACCAAAATGCAGCCAGAACCTCTGTTCTGCTTTGCCCTAGAATCTATTCTATTCTGTTCTATTCCTCGGTGAGCAGCAAGACATCTCCAGCATCAGAACAGCCCCAGGGACAGCCGTGCTTCAGTTTTGCTGTCTCAAGATATGCACAAACAATGCAAGCCAGGTTAAGAAACAAGAAACGCCAGGAGCTGAACATTCTCACGTAATCCAAGGCAAGAACAGTTTCTTTTTTGACAGTTGGTAGGTCAGGGAGAAAGACACGTCTGTCTTTACATCCTTAAAAGGCAGCAACTCTTCTCCCAGGGCTGGCCTTGCTGTCACATACACAAGGCCAAGGAATGATTTACCCTCCCCCCCAGACCACATTCTGAGAACTTCCTGTTCTTCCCCTCCTCCTCTTTCTTTTCTTCCCTCTGGAAAGCAGCTCACATCTGTGCTTCGTTAGCCACAACTGGATCCTTAACGGAGACCAGATGCAGCCCCAGCAGAGCCGCAGGAACGCCCTCCCTGCTTGTCTTAGGGAGCTGTGCCTGCCCGTGCAGCACGTCAGCAAACTGCCTGTGCTGCACCCTGAGCTTCAGGCCATGCAGGAGCACGACAGATTCCAAACAAAACCTTGATGCCCCTTCAGACACAAGTTTTTCCACGTATTTGATGAAATAGTTTTTCTTACAGCGTTCTCACCTTTCTGGATCTGTTTTTCTGTGAAACGACGCTTCCAGCATTCAACATCTGATTTCACAAACCCTTCTATCGCTATCTATTTTTCCACACAACAAAAAACACAACAGGAAAAGGAGTATTATTTAAAGTGCTGGAGATTCACGTGTCTGAAGCATCTTTCAACCCTCTCTCCTCCCTTAATGAGGTTCATTTGAAAAAGGCACATACTTGCATTCCATCTCATCTCTAAGTATCTTGACCAGGAGAAGTAAGAATCTCTCTTTTCAACTTGGGCCCCACTTTGATAACAGGGCCGTGCTATAAACATCAGACATAGCATCTACAACACTACGTGATTTATGTAATGCTGTAATGCTGTGGGGAGGTGGGTAGATTTCCCTGCCACAGTCACCGAGGACATGTGGTGTAACACTTCCATTTGAACAAGCGACAAAAACAGAGCATGTATTCATCTCAGTCTCAACCACCTCCCCCAGTAACTCCAGCACAAGGCCGCATCCCAGCACAGCACCTGGGGTGGGTGAGTGTCCCCTGTGCTTCAGACACTGCCTGCACCACTACAGAGGGAAATCCAGGTTTCACTGCTGAGCAAGTGGCAGTTTTTCTTGAGCAAAGAGCAGACACAAGAATGAGATTCTCAGCAGTTCAACTAACAGGCACACTGTGGATGTACTGTTCTGGTGCTAAGTGTTTACTGAGAGACTCACCACAATGTAAACCACGTCTGGGCTGTCTTGGACAAACACTGGGCACCACCCTGTCCCTATCCTCCACCCATCGCCTACATGCTGCTCTTGGGTGTTTTCCATGCAAAGGAAAAGGATGGGACAAAGCAGGTGCTGCTTCCTAAGGAAAATTAACAACATATATCACCATTTTCCAAATGTTAATTACGTGCACCCTTGCCTGGATATCAGTAATTTGAAACTGCACCTGACTAGCCCCAAAAGAAGTGTTAGAATAATGCAATCTGTCTTAAATATTGCATAGAATCATAGAATCATAGAATCATAGAATCACAGAATGTCCTGGGTTGCAAAGGCCCACAGTGCTCACACAGTCCCAACCCCCTGCTGTGTGCAGGTCACCAACCAGCAGCCCAGGCTGCCCAGAGCCACATCCAGCCTGGCCTTGAATGCCTGCAGGGATGGGGCACCACAGCCTCCTGGGCAACCTGTTCCAGTACCTCACCACCCTCTGGGTGAACAGTAGGTGATTCTGCAAGCAACTTCACATTATAAGGTTTGCTAGACTGGTTACAGGACAAAAGCATCACGTCATGGACCACAGTGGCTACTGAGGGCTCGGACATGGCCACATCAGACACTACTTGACACCGAAGGTTAACGGGGCTTCCAACCTCATCGTTTAGAAGCATAAAACTTTAAAGACATCTAAGAACTGAACACTGATCTTATCTTCAAATCAATGCAAAATCAACACAGAGCTACAATATCAGAGCTGGAGGGATGCTGCCTTTTCTCTTGTAATTGGGAAGTTCATCATATTAAATGAATGCTATTCTGGGAAAGGTGTCGAGCATTTTTCATATATGTTCAAAACATTGAAAACTGTCTGGACTATTCTTAGGAATTCTTCCCTGGCAGAAACAAAATGCTTAATAAAGCAGGAAAAGTCTTACAGAATGATATTTGTGTCATATTGAATACATGGCTTTGCCTACTCCAAATGTATCCTGATAAAGTCAACAGCAAGCCGTAGTTTTGTGTGAATTACATCAAACAAAACCTTGTGTCCTAAGTACTGCAATAAGTACTGCTTTAGGCACAAGAAAATCAGTCACCCAATTCCTGCAAACACCCACTCAGACCTTTTCCTAAGATTTTTTCAATATGTGGTATTCTGTTGCAGTATTTGGCAAAATCACATTATCTATTTTTATACAAATGGAAATAAAGCTGCTTGGTTATCATTGGTATTCTTTGCTTCCTGTTCTGAAATTATGTGCACTTCAGTTCCAAGAAAGGACTGGAAGGACTAAGAATGGAACATGCTCGTACACATCTGTCAGCAGAGAAGTGTTCACTGCAGTGATTTCTTCTCTTTTAAAGGACAGGCAGGATTCCCTGACTGTTCTGTACTAGAAGCATAAGATCTCTGTGCGAAGAGAACATCACTAAGTGCCAACAAGAACCTGAATGAGACAGTGAGGAGCTAATAATAATAATAATGATAATAATAATAATAATAACTGAGCCATTTTAGTAAGAGGAAACCAGGAAAACTTACTGGATCTTTTCAAAACTCATTTGCTTTTCATTTGGTCCAACCTACTCCTTTCAAGTATGCCCCAACTTTTCAGTTTTTGATGTCGTTACTGGTTGAATGGAATGATAAATGATTAAAAAAACCACTTGGCCATGGAATGCTGTTTCAACAATGGCTCATGTCCTGCATAAACAAATGCAAAGAGAATTTATTAGGTACTAAACAGAGAAACTCCGTACAGAATCAACTAGTTATCCAAATCAGAGACTCCAAAAGTAGAATTACATTATTTCTCACACAGAAATGCCCCAAGTGCTCTACAAGCTGCTTTGCAAATTGCATGGGAAAATGTAAGCCACCACTGAACAGAACTGCACCTCGTCACGGAAGACGGCAAACAGCTCATTATGGACAAGGCCAGCCACCAGAAATTCTGCCATGGGAAAAAAAGTCTTGCTAAACTTGCTTGCTAAATTACTGCAGACAGCAATTATCGCTGCTTTGCATTGCTCCTCAGATACACTTCGTGTGTTATCTGGGTGGGATGAAAACCGCAGTGCTGCCATCCCATCTGCTCTGTATGGAGGGATTGGAGCTCCCAGAAACATTCCCATCATAAGCCTGGAGTTGGCTGCAATGAGACCGTCCTCACCTACAGGGGGACAACATGGACATAAAATTACACAGCACGTTCTGAGATGATCATCTCACTGTAACTACAAGATGCGTCCTCAGGCTTCAATAAATCACTGAAAAATCAGTGACCAAAAAATCAGGAAGGAGCAGAGATGAGTTTACTGCTGGATAGAACAGGTTTATCTTTGGCATCATCTACGATGGCCACATCATCTGCCCTGCTGCGGGCTTAAAATAACAAAAAAAAAATCCATGGTCTCTCACTACAAAAGTATGGTCATTGCTGTTCAGACATTTCTTTGAAGAATGATTATAAATGTTTGCCAATAGCACTGTTTGCCAAATTTCTAAGAACACGGATGTATACCAATATGACCAATCACTTACAGGAAAAACAGACACTAATGATGCTGCACTGCTGCGAAAGCACAAAGTGCCTCAAGCTTCATCTGTCTAAGGACTGAAATGAATCAAGCACACAGACGGGACGGGAATTTACAGCAAGCTTTGTGAGTTCAATTCTGATGGCTGAAAGCTGACTACAGGGTTGTATGGGATTCACTGAACCATTTTCCACCCCTGTTAGCATCAAGTCAGTCTCAGAAAAACTAAAAATCTCCTTAAAACAAATTTCCACTTTGCATGTCAGTAGGGATCTGTTTACTACAGGTAATGACACCTAGCTGACAAAAAAAAAAACAAAAACAACTGCTTTAAACATTTTTCACTCTCGTTTTGTTAATCCCACGTATGTGAACTGCTGACACACCTCAGCACTGTGCCCATCTCTCTCCCGACTCCTCGTTTCTCACTCTGCAGGCTGACAAGACCACCACCCCCCTTTACAAGGCACGAGTATTACCAGACGTTAAACCTAGTGCAGTCGTGGGGTTTTTTTGTTTGTTCAGCTTAGACACTGCCGATGGGCTCAGAGCAAGGAGCGGCTGCAGCAGAGCTGGACGTGGGGCTCAGGGCCGCATCTGTCCCACAGCCACAGTCCAGCAATCCCCAGCTTCCATCACACCAAGACGCTCGCGACTTCCTTCAGGCACCCACGAATCTTCTCCCAGCTTTACATTTTCTGTTTGGCTGCCAGATTCCAATCGAGGGTTGCAAGGAGGGATGGCAGCCTCCTAACGCTGCAGCCCAACGCCCAGGGGTCTGTGTGGGAGCACAGGGGACCCCGATGTCCCGCAGCCCCCCGGCTCGCACTGAGGGGAGGAGTGAGGCGGGAAGGGGACGCTCCAAGGGGAGGAGGGACAACTTTAGAAGTCTCCATATGTCTTTTCCTTTCAGGAAACACATCCTGTTCATGTTTGACTGCCGTGGCAGCGGCTCTGTTTGTTGCAGTCGACTACGCCCTGAGGCTCACCAAAAACAGCCACAAAAACAGCCATTTCCTCTGAGTGCAGAGGTGGGGGGCGGGGGGCAGACCTTTTCCTCACGGCATTCCGCGCTCCAGCCCCCACCGCTCGCAGCGCTGGTGCTCGGAGAGACGCAGCGGAGCAAATTCCTCGGGATACTCCAGGCTTTCCTAGCTCCTTGGGATGAAAACATTCGTCTGGAGTTCAGCTGGGCTTTAAGGATGCCATCTGTCAGCATTCGCGGGATATTCTGAAGCGCTAATCCGAAGGACACCGCGAGGATCCCGCGCCCCGGGGTGCGCTGGGCACGCTGCCGGCCGGCACCCAGCGCCCGCGCTCTGCCCGCAGCCTGGATCCCCACAGCGCCTGCCTCGGCTCGCAGGGAATGGACCTCCCCGTCTTCCAGTTCATCACCGGCCTGGCACTGCTCATCAAGGTGCAAGAAGGTGGATAAGCCAACGCTGGGAAGGACAGAAACTTAAGTAAGCTTCCTGGTGTTCTTATTTTATGGAATTATCCTACCTACCTCACAAAATTCTCATTTGCTTCGTCAGAAACACATCTGGAGTTGACTTTGAGAATGAACGGTGATGTCCTCTAGCCACTCATAACATCCTATCCAAGCTGCCTCCATTTCAAGCCCCATTTCAATGTGCTGCAGCTGACTGAGACCTTGCGTCTTCTGCTAATAGAGACTGGCAGCGAGCTGACAGTCAGATATGACTGTCCAGAAACTGGTAGCCACAGCTGTGTTGGTAGCCTTGGTCTCACTTATTCTTAACAACGCGGCTGCCTTTACTCCTAACTGGGTGTACCAGACCCTGGAAGATGGGCGTAAGCGCAGCGTGGGGCTCTGGAAGATGTGCTGGCTGGCAGAGAGGAGCAAGGCAGGAGCGAGCACGAGCAGCAGGCACGGGCAAGGGGAGGAGCGCGAGTGCGAAGCCCTGGGCTGGGGCTCGGAGTCAGCCGGGTTCCAGGAGTCTCGCAGCACTGTCAAATGTAAGTTCCATCTCTTCTCTGCTTATGCTGGATTGTCATAGATACAGGATTGTCATAGATACAGAGTACCTGGTGCTGAGGAACGTGTAGCCCAACGTCCACATAGCTCATAGCACATCAGTGTTGACCGTTCGATTCTAAAAGTTTCTTAAGGTTAACAGTAAAATAAAATCAGGAAAATGAGAATAATTATGTCCACCCACTGGCTATGATTCCTCCTCCCTCCCCAAAAGAAGTAATCTGCATTGCACTCACTGTCCTGTTTTATGGCATATGGAACCACGCGCTTTGAAAAAATCCGTCCAGAAAACTTAAGTCTAGAGCTCTCAGACGCCTCCTCCTTGCCTTTCCCTCTTCTTGGATTCCTGCTATGAGCGTATCTCCCCTCAGTACATTAAATCATTATCATGGCTGCTCTGAATACTGAAAAAGTACAAAGAGAACCAAATTTTTCAGATTCTATGTTAGTTCCCTTTTTTTTTCATCTGGAGGACAGCTATATCTTTGGCAAAAATTACTAAGCTGAGCTAGGTATTAACATACAGAAATACACTTTTGGTGAAAAAACCCTAAGTACTTGTGGAATAAGAAAAACATGAAGCGTGGCATAGTTCTCACATGCGATTTCAGACACCTTTGTTAAATCACAGCTGATGGGTCCAAAGGCACTCATTGAGAACCTCTGCTTCCAGCAGCTCTCCCAGCAAGCAGACAGCAGATGAGGGCTCTGAGCAGCACTGCCTCAGGGTTTGTTCCATCAGGCAAACTCAACCAACACTAAGTGGATCCTTCAAGGAAATGAATTTAAAGTATTAAATGTCTATAAAGCTCATGCCTTGGCAGACGTTAGGATTTTTTCTAGAGATTTTAATACTGCTTTTAAACTGTGCTGGTACCTCTGAAGACTCGTAACAGTAACATTAGTAAGAAAAAAGGTTCCATGTTTTTTTTTCATGGTTTGAAATATGGAGAAAAGGAAAAACGCTGTTCTGCCCTAAAGTCTCTTATGCCCCTCTTGAGACCAAATGAAAATAAAAGAGGAATTTCTTTCCAAAATATGTTTTAGTGTGGGCCCACACAACATCATGCTTTCCAGAAAGCAGCAGCTGCCTTTTGTGCACATGCTAACATCAAATCCCCAAAAGTCACCTGTAGAGAACATGTCAACCACTATGAATCCCTGAATATGATCTTTGGTTTTACCCACCAGAATTTTTGTTATGACAAATAATAACAAACAGAATTAGACTTTTGAAAAACTTCTTTGATGCCTACCTGTAACTTCATCACCTGAACGACTGCCCTGATTGTTACTGATCAGTCAGGTTCTGACTTAAAAAGCTTGCTTACCATTCATGAACTTTAAAAGTACCTGGTCTCTATGGAACAGATAGAGTAAGTTCCTGTGTATTGAATCGGGCTTCTGCAGCTTTTTAAGCCCACCAACTCACAGTTCCTGCTATGAACAGTTCAGAAGATGGGTGGTGCTCTAAAGATAGGCATAGAAGAACTGTTTTCATAGCAAAATGGTGTGGCAACAATTTCTTACATGAAACAGAAGCAAAATGTGATAGAATTTTTTTAAACACTATAACTACAGCACAGTCATGTGCCTCCCACCTTACCCCCAGTTCTCTAACACTTAAAAGCTCTTAAAATGCTGGTTTAAAGAAGGATTTTGAGGTCCAGTGACTCATTTTGTTCAGCATCCGTGCATTAATGTGGGAGCCAGCAGTAAGCAGAAGTCAAATTTTCAGTCTCTGGAGAAAGGAAAATCTCACTTCTGCAGCTCTACCATGACAAACTAATGAAGAAACTCATCTGTTGCACATTAAGATGCGTTTCCATGGGTTGTACACCTTATCAATACGGGCCTGATCCTGCATTCATAATTTCATAACTTTAAAGATGCTGTCTAATGTTGAATCGCATTAGTGATGTAAGAAGGCAGTCCTCATCTGTCAGTTAGAATGACACTGGTGTGTGTGTTACGTACATACATACGGATGGGTGCCCCCTCCCTGGAAGCACTCAAGGCCAGGCTGGATGCAGCTGTGAGCATCCTGGTCTAGAGGGAGGTGTTTCTGCATATAGGAGAGGGTTGGAACGAGATGGTCTTAAGGGTCCCTTCCAACCCAAGCCATTCTATGTATGATTCTACTCTCTCTCTATGTATATACATGTGCACAGCTTTTTGAATGAAAAATTCCTTCCTCAGAGTTAAGGCGTAGTAGTATTCTGGATGCAATAAGTGGAAAAGCAGGTTCTTCCAATAGAATGCAAGAAAAGATGCAGTATTGGTCATAACATTTCTTCACACATTGATGTGGACGTGTTTGTGAGGCAGGTTGATCTCAGTTCATCAGGAAAAACTTAAACCTGTGGGAATTCCAGGTACTGTGTGAGTAACAGCCAACTAAAGGCAGTGCTGTAAGTAGGCTCACTCACTGGCAGAAATGGATATTCTTAAACACTGAATATCATTTAAGGGCCCGTTCTTTCTTCCATTGAAATCATTGGCAAACCTCCTTTCACAGGACACAAAGCCAAGTTTTCTCCACCTGTGGGTACACAGCCCAAACAAAGTGACTTCCATAAGAATGAGGAAGTCACTCACTATGTCACAGTCTGCACGTGCTTCAACTGAAAATACACTACACCACATTGAAAGAAATAGCAAATTGAGTCTTGCATGTTTGGTAAAAATGACAGAAATGCTCCATCAAAAGATCACACAGGCAGTGGCCAGCAGCAGTCAGTGTGATACAGCACTTCTGCCAAAACCGCTCTGAGATGGAAAGTCAAATTCCACACCAGAACCTCTCTGATCCAATTCCCCACTCATGGGACATCTGCGTAAATCATTGCATCGTAACACACGAACCACTGAAGCAAGAGGAAAATTAAGGTGTTCTGGATTTAATCCATATGATATGAACACTGCATCAAGGGTATTAAAGTCAATAAAGGATAGATAGAATAAATACCAAGATGTACATATATGCAACATTATAGATGCTGCAGAGTCACCATGAAGAAACAGAGATTAGAAATAGGGGGGGAAAGTCCAGAGAGAGGAGTCAGTGATGCTAAAGGAAAAATAGACAGTAATTAAATATCTCAATGTGAACCATTCCTGCAAGGTACACTGTGAAAGAAATGCAGGTGACTTGGGTTCTGAGGGGAAAACCTCAACTCTGTTCTGACCAACAGTGCCCCTGGAAGGCAGGGATCAGTCCCTTCTGGCTTTAACCACATTTTCCCTTCCCTCCCTTTTGGCCACACATTCCTGCACCCTTCCTTCAGCCACCTGTGATACTAGAAAGCTTCTGTGAGACAGCTGAAATGACTAAGAGCAAGGAAATACCCAGGTTTGAAGAGGAATCCTTCAGGTTTGGGTTGTTTTTTTCCTGCTTGGTTATATTCTGATGGATTAAGCAGTGGGCTCAGGAGTCACTCCTTGTTGAAACGTGATGTGAACCTTGTTGATGAAACGAGCACAGGCTGAGTGATGGAGGTGTGATGGTAGCAGATGGCTCCCTTTTGGAGGCAACACATCAGAGATCTTTCCTTATGCTGAGAATCCCAGCCTCGTTAGGAGGATAACAGGCAAAGTTTTTCCAACAAGGGCAAGCCAACAGATGATACTTAAGGCCACTGAGCACTCACACGGCATGTTCTCTCTTCCAAGCACTTCAGGGAATCCTGCCTGCTCAGGCAGCCTACCACTCCTGAACATAAGCGAGGGCAAGGAGTTCCGCTCGGTCAGCTCTCCCCTCGCCCGGCCCTGCACCATATCTACACACCCCAGCACACTGGAGTACTTGGAATCAGCACTGGTATTTCTGACCACGCTGCACAGTGCAGCTGTGCCCCTAAGCCCCACAGCACTGCCGGCTCTGTGGACAGATGGAGCTCATTTATTTGTTAGCAAAGGTCACATTCTGTTCCTTTTTGTCTAAAGATCATTACGAACAATTTGGAACTGCAGGAATAGATATTTTTTTAAAACTTCACTTGGTTCTTCAAGGAGCCAGAAGGACTGAATGCAAATCCCAGCAGTGGGACGCTTATTTCTACTACAGATGCCGAGAGCAAGACATCCGTAGTTCTTACAAGCAGCACAACCAGTGACAGGGAGAGGCACGGCATCACGAGTGACTACGTGACTCCAGAAGGACTGAATATAAACACCTGCCAGCCTCAGAGCATGATTTATGCAGACACTTGCACTATGAAGAGCAGTGCTAAGCCAGGCTGCTGCTCTGCGTGGGAACAGTGCTGGCTTTTGTTTGCAGAGGTAACAATTCAGAGTGACACTGGCTGCTGATGTTTGGCTGGACCGAAGCCATGCCATGTCAGGCAGCGAGCATCATATTAGTTTTTTACATAGACAGATCAAGAATGAAGGGTCACTGCACCTAGAAAAGACAGTATCTAGAGATTAAATACAGCCAGACACTCACTGTGTCCATGGGTGCCTGCCCAAGATATAACCTGCTGGGGCTGCTGCACAGACACAGTTTGCCCTGATGGCAGCTCCGAGCTTCTGATTTCCCTTCCTAGCACCTGCAATGTGGTCAGCATTTCAATTAGTGAAATGACTAATTACAGCAGGGGAGGCAAATATGCAGGAGGTAAAATTTAAGAGGTCTGCTCTTCAAATTGGAGTCAGTGCTCATCTTGACATAGATTTTACTTTGCTGTGGACTCAGTCCTGAAGTTCCAAACCACTTTTTTACCGAGCTGTCATAGTTCAGTTGGGACAGACCTACAAGGATCATCGTGTCTGGCTGCAATAGCCAGAATTGTTTCATTGGGCCAGAACTGCTTGATTCCTTCCCCCTTTTATTTCTCTAATTTGTAATGTATCCATCCAGCATCAGAGTGCATTGAGGACTCCTAAGATCTGAAAGCCATAGACCTGCTGATGGGGATTCCCTAAGGAAGACTTTACTTTTAAGGAAAGCCCTGCTCTTACAATAAGACAGGCAAAAAAA